GGTAAGGTGGCAGGGACCCCAGCTGACTGACGGGAGGTCGCCAGCCCCCGCCCCGGTCCTGATGTTCTCCTGCCCCACACAGGCCATCCGCCCGCTTCCCCCACCAGCGGAGGAAGAAGAGGAGGGAGATGGATGACGGGCTGGCTGAGGGAGGCCCACAGCGATCCAGTGAGTAGGCGGTGGTTCTAGAGGGCAGGCCGGGTCGGGGAGCTGTGGGAGGACGGTCACACACCTTCCCCTCCCATTACGCTAGACACGTATGTGATCAAGCTGTTTGACCGGAGCGTGGACTTGGCTCAGTTCAGTGAGAACACACCGCTCTACCCAATCTGCCGAGCCTGGATGCGCAACAGCCCCTCAGTGCGTGAGCGTGAACGCTCACCCAGCTCACCACTGCCCCCACTGCCTGAGGATGAGGAGGTTGGATGTGTGGTGGGCCCCCTCTCAACAGCCAGTGGGTAGATGGTGAAAGGTGTCCTCTCCCAAAGCTAGTGGGATAGATAGGCACGGGTGTCTGTGATTTCTGGATCCGGTGAGGCACACAGATACGAACCCTTTGGCCGAGGGTATGGCTGGAACTCCTTGAAGCAGACCGACATGATACCTGGCCTGAGAGGGAGAGGGGACAGGGCTCTCTTGGGCAGGTAGATGGGACCTCCAAGATTAGAGGTTCCCAAAAGCTGGGGGGCTTGACAGGGGTCCTTACTGCAAACAGGTGTAGCCACCTGGCCTAGGGGAGCAGATGGAGGTTACTGGGCTGACTAGGAGTGATTGGGGGTCCCTGGGCTGGACAGAATACAGGCAGGGATCCCTGGAGCAGACATTTCTTTGACATGGCTCTTAAGACAGGTCCCCGGTGAGACCCTCGTGTCTGCTGTCACTGGGAAAGGCAGAAGGGGTGAAGTGTGTACTGCTGGCCCTCTTCTCTAACTCTCTTGGGCCTGGTGTGGGGCCCTTGTGTCCCCAGAGTTCAGAGGTCACCAATAGCAAGAGTCGTGACGTGTACAAGCTGCCTCCACCCACAGCCCCTGGGCCACCTGGAGATGCTTGCAGATCCCGAATTCCATCCCCCCTGCAGCCTGAGACCCAGGGTACCCCTGATGATGAGGTGGGTACGCAGGCTGGCCCAGGGCCGTGGGCAGATGGTACGGGGCTTGGGCATGGCCAACCCCGCCTGGCCTCTCTGTCCACGCAGCCCTCCGAGCCTGAGCCCTCACCATCCACGCTCATCTACCGCAACATGCAGCGCTGGAAACGCATCCGCCAGAGGTGAGCGTCCCCGAACCTGCTTGTACCCCTATGGCTTCTTCCCCAACTGCTGAGTCCTCCCTCTGCTTCTCTACTCCCAACACAGGTGGAAGGAGGCATCTCATCGGAACCAGCTTCGGTACTCAGAAAGCATGAAGATCCTACGGGAGATGTATGAGCGACAGTGATGTTCCCCTGCCCACCACATCCCCCCAATAAACATTCCCCTCCTTCCCACCTCCACACTGGCCTCTGCTTGCTCCAGCCCATATTTCCCGGTGCAGACATAAAGCAGTTGGCACAGCTCTAGCACATTTATTGGGGGAACAGATAAGGGGATGGGGTGGCAGGAAATTCAAGGAGGGAGAAGGATTGTGGGGCACCAAAGCAAAAGTGGCCGCTTGGTTGGATCTTGGAGAACGAGGGGAGGTATGTGGTTGGAGATGAGGGGATTACGGCAAAATGATGGGGTTCTGGTTAGAGCTGGGGATGGGGCTTAGGATATCTGTGCAGAGTCTGGAGAGATGGGGAGGGTATCTGTGCACTCGGAGGTTGAGGGTCCTGCTAGGCCTGGAATAGGTGTCCAAGGGTGGGGGGTCAGGAAAAGGGTTTAAAAGTCTGGGATGGGGGCGCTGGCTGGGGTTTCAAGTCACAAGATGGGTGGGGGGAGTAGATTGTCCAGTTGGAGTGAGGGGAAGGATCCAGAATCTTGAGGACCAGGCCTTGGATGGTCTGGGATATTTGAGGGGTGGAGAGGGAGTATGCTTAACTGGCCTAGGGTGGGGGCAGGGCTGTCCACACCATAATGTGGTGTTGGAGAGGGAAAAGGATTAAAATGGGATGTGGAGATATTTTAATAGATGAGTCAGAAGGAAGCAGAGGAGGGAGTTTTGAGTGGGTTTATATGCCAAGAAAGTGGGGTCAGTGGGGCCGGGAGACTGTAGGCTGAAGCGTTGTCCGTGTACGGCCTGGAAGCTAGGGAGGTGTCAGGAGTCCGAAAGCTGGAGGGGGTGTGAGAACGGGAGTGTCAGAGGAATGGTCTACGTTACCAGGGAAGAGTCTACGTGGGGAGGGTCAGGGTAGGATCCCAGATTGGGTGGGTGGTTTGGGCGCGCTCGGGACATCTGGCTGGGCGGAGTCAGGTCGGCTTTAGAAGAGGGGGCCTGAGGCGGCTCCCGGGGTTCAGACGTGACGTCTACTTGGCAGCAGGCTGTGGCAGTGGGGCCTGGGGCGTTGTGGGTGCGGCCTGGATGGACAGGACGCCCTCAGGGGACAGCGCGGACGTCACGGCGGCAGGGTCCACACCAGGCGGCAAGCGGTAGCGGCGGTGGAACTCGCGCGCGACGTATCCGTGCTCATCCTGGAGAGAGAGACTTGAGCGGCCCCAACCCTTTTCCTATGGATGCCCCGCCCCTCCGGCCTGCGGATCCACCTACGCGTTCTGGCCCCACCCCTACCAGCGGGCTCACCGGGCGCTCCTCGTGGCGCGCATGCACCTCCACGTGGTCGCCAACCACCTTGACGGCGATTTCCTCCGGGGAGAAGTGCTTCACGTCCAGCAGCACCGAGAAATGCCCGGGTTCCGTTGGGACCTAAGCACAGCCCGATCGTCATCGGCGGGGCGAGGCTCCTCCCCCGGTCGGTTCCGGGGCTGCCCCTGTCCCAGGCCTCCGGAACTGGGCAATCCATTCCTTTCCTACTTGTAGCCCCGGAGGATCTCTTCACCCAGAATAACTGGGATCACCCCTCCCTCTGTGATCACTGAGATTCTCTCATCCAGAGTGATGAGGCCCCCCCTTCCCCTGCAAGGTCAGGGACCTCGGCTCTCACGGGGTCAGGCCTGCCCCCTCCCCGTGTCAGAGTGTTCTTTGGACACTGAATCCCCAGGCCCCCATCCCTCAGAACCCCTGGTGCACTTACTGCACACCGCCCCCCCCCACCAGAAATTGCCAAGATGCCTCTTCCCCCAGCTTCCAGAGTCATCTTTTTACCCTCCCACTGGAGTCACGGGGCCGCTTACGCCCTTAACAGTTACCAGTACCCACCCCCACTTCTCAGAGTGGCCAGGCCCCCCTTTCTCAAGTCACAGGACCCTTCCTCCCCTCTGTCTCTCCAGGAGGCATAGGGTCGCCACATACATACAGTCTCCAAACTCTTCCCCGAGAATGACAAAACATTCCCTCCCCTCAGGAGTCCCTGGGAACCCCCATGCCCTTCAGAATAACAGCGCCCCCCTTTCCCCAGATTTCCTGGGTCACCAGCCTCCTTCTGAGTCACCAACGCTCCCCTCAGAGTGACGGCCCCACCCTATCCGTGACTCAGCCGTTCCAGCCCCTCAGAGCTGAGACCCTCCTCAGATGGGCAGGGACCTCCCACCCGCTTCAGTAATGCAGCCTGTGAAATTCCATACTCAGGGAACTCTGGAAGCCCCTCTGAGTGCTCCACCCCGCTCAAAGTCGGGGGACATTCCTCACCCCCCCCTCCCCGGGATGACCGGGGCTCCGAGCCTTGCAAGTGGTCGAGTTACCGCCCTCCCCCAGGCCTGGCACCTGGGCGGTAGGCAGCGCCACGCTGGGTGCGCGCAGGTAGTAGGGGGCCAGTGATGCGGGGCAGAGCGCAGCCAGCTCGGCCTCCAGCAGCCCCTCGCCGAAGCGCTGGTCGAAGAGGCGCCCGGGCAACGGGGTCGAGGCGCGGCGCAGCCAAGACGGCTGCACAGGCACGGGGATCTCCATCCTGCTTCGCCGCCGCCGCCGCCGCCGCCGCCCCTAGGCTCCGCAGTGCCCCTGCGTGCGCCGCAGCCGCTCTTATAGTACGCGCCTTGTGTCCGCCCCTCGGCGGGCCGCCCGGGGACATTGGGACCGCGGCCAGCCCCGGCCATTAATAGAGTCTTATTTAGAAAGCCCAACAATGACTTGGCCATTTATTAAGCGCCTGCTGGATGCCAGAGAGGTGATCCCCCGATATCCCAAAGGGGAAACTAAGGCTGAGGAGGTGGAGCCTTGCCGAGTGGGTAGGACGGCGCGGCATTTGGGACCCGGGGCCCGAAAACCCCTGCGCAGAGTTCGCAGTCCCTTTAATCCACCCCCGCCCCGCAGGCAGCTCTGGGGATGACGCAGATGGCGGTCTTAGGAGCAGATTCTTGGGTACAGGGAATGTGGTAGCCGGCCAGGCTGTCAGGAGGACACAGAACAGACCCTACTCCCATCTCAGCAGGGCCTGGGCCCAGCCCCCCGACAAGCCGGGCCTAATTCTGGGCCTCTGACTCAGCCTCGGGTGCGCAGGGTAGCGGGGTCTGCCAGGTGAGCAGCGGCCAGAGGGCGCGGGCACGAACAGTCCAGGCTGGCCCCCGAGGGGCCGCGCGGCGGGCCCGAAATAGCTCATTTTGATCCCACCACCTCGGCTAGGAGCCCAGTCCTGGCACTTAGCGCAACCAGCTGCTCCCGCAGCAAGACGGAAGTGGTTAATGACTCCGCGGGACTGGTTGGCTGGCCCGACTGATGGAGGGGCGGCGGTTAGAGAGGGGACAGATTCCCCAATTGCCCTGCAACGCGAAAAACGGTGGTTACATTGGAGTCCGGACAAGATTTCCGCAGCAAAAAGGGGAGTGGCTCTAAGACACTGGGGGAAAGCGAGAGTACTTTATGACCCTCCTAACCGCGAGCTCACCCTCAGATCCTTTCCATTGGTCCACAGGCTTGCCAATTACTGCTGCACGCTACGGTTCTCCAATCAAACATGCTCTCTCAGTCAGGCCGAAGGTACAGCCAGTTGTGCGACATTCTCCCTTTGGCCACTTTCCAATTACTTTTATTTTCCTCTTCATCATTGGTCGCCTTGGAGGCCGCTCTCTTCCCGCGCGGGCACTCCGGGAGAGGGGCGGGCCTAACAAGGCATTGCTAAGCGACAGAGATGCGCGCGGGGTCAGCCCGGTGAGGGAGCGGAGCTGGCGGAAGCGCTCAGGTAGCTGCGGGATGGACCGCAGGTGAGGCCGATCCTTCTCCCGGGGACCACAGGAGGCCTGGGGAGGACCTAGGGTGAGATTAACACAGCGTCGGGTCAGGTTTGCTCGGGTCCGGAGTCTCTTTTTCAACAGCACTGGAACTACAACTCCCAAGATGCTCCACATCCTTTGGCCGCTCCAGCCTAGGACTTCACCATCGGGGTCCCGTAGCGTCTTACGTTCCGCTTTCCAAGTGGCTCCAGGGCCTTTTATTTTTCCTCTAAGGGTGTCCAGTGTCATCTTGGGAGTTCAATTTCTGAATTTTAAAAACTGCCCCCAGATTCCTATGGGTGTTGGTTTTGACCTTTCTTGCTTAGGCGGAGCCCAGTTACTGATGGGGATTGTAGTCCATTTACCATTTCCTCCTTCGTGTCCCCGGGACTTATGGGAAATGTAGAGAGAGAGGGTTTAGCCGTGGTTCTTAACGGCTTTGAAGCTCCACTTCAAAATCACTTGGGACGGTGCGAAAGAGATACAGATAACCAGCCACCTTCCAGATATTATGATTTCTTTTGGCTTGGGGTGAGGACCACATATCTGTATTTTTAAAAGGCTCTTAGATTGGATTCAGGGTTAAGAACCACCAGTTGGCAGTTCCTTGGTTTTCTGAGACTGCCCCCAAGAGCTGGTGGGAATCGAGCCTCTAGTATCATTATCTCGAATGCGCAGCGCTGCTTCATGGGAATTATAGTCCATCTCTTCCTGCAATCTATGGGAATTGTCATCTGGTTCTGCCCTCCTCTTCCCAACCCTGAAACCTGACTCCACCCCACAACCCCCAAACAGGGGGGCTCTGCCTGCCAACCTCACTCTCCCCTTGCAGTCTGCCAATTTTCTCCATCCAAGACAGCCCCTTTGAGGATACTCCCCTGGATCAAAGCCACTACTGGCCGTCCCAAAGCCAGACCTGGCACCCCAAGGTGAGGACACTCCATAGAGAGTGCTGTGTGTTAGCCCAGTGGTGAGGGAGTAACAACTAGAGGGAAGGAGGATATGTGATGGGGGGGGGGGGTGAGGGTTAAGAGACAGTCCTTCCTCATGGCTCTGCCCTCACCCAGTCCTCTGTCACCTGGATCACCTATCGTAGCCCCCAATCACTCTGAGTTGTTACCATTGTGGGATATGTTTCCTCCCCTCTCGACTAAGACACACTTCATGTGTGCCTTCATTCCCCTACAGGGATGACCCCTCAACCCTCACTTTCTTCTCCCTACCTCCCTGTCTTAGACCCTGAGCCCATCCAGGTCCTGGGGGTCCAGGCCCCCAGAAGCTCCCAAGGCTCTGGCCACAGGTCCCAACTCCTCTGAACTGTTTGAAGAGTCCTGGCCATCCAGCTCAGGGACCCCTTCCCCACCCAGCACCACTGAAGGACAGATGGGAGCCTCCCAACCACCCACCCTGGTTGACAGCAGGGAGTCCGTGGTGGCCAAGTAAGTAGCAGCAGCCCTGGGGGGGAAAAGAAGGGTTTGGATCAGGAGGGGGCAGGCATCCCATAATAATCACCATAGCCAGAGCTGTTTATGCAGCACTTTTAGGACCACACTTTATATGTGCTATTAAGGGCTCTGGAGCTAGGCTGCCTGGGTTCAAATCCCAGCTCTGTCACTTACCCTCTGTATGACTTGGGCCTCAGTTTCTTCATCTGTAAATTGGGGATATTAACAGCTCATATGCCCTAGGGCTGTTTTAAGCTTTCAATGAGTTACTGTTTATAAAGCATCTATAACAAGTGCTATCACATAGTGAGCCCTTGGATTTGTAGGATCCAAGTTCAGCTGCTCTAACAAACAGTCCCAAATTAATTGTGGCTCGAGCAAGATAGCATTTATTTCTCCCTCACCCAAACAGTCCAGGCAGAAGCAACCAGGGCTGATATGGCAGCCCCCGGCTGAGGTGTCAGGGACACAGTTTGCCTCTGTCTTGTTGCCTCCCATCACTAGGCTGTTGTCCTTTCCTTTATGGACCAACCATAAAGGAAATGTGGCTCCCAACCACATCCACTTGCCAGAATCACACCTCATCTCATAACCCTGCTGGTCAAGAACCTAGTTACGTGGCCATTAAACTATTGGGACCCCTGATAAATATATCTGTAGAAGAGTGGCTATGCGCTCAGTATTATACAGTCTTACATAATATTGCATTACTCTGTAAGAGAGAACAGATGTTGAGGGACAAGTACTAGGTACTGCCAAAGTATTTGATAAACATCACTGTTGTGATTGTTATTGTCATTATTATTATTATTATTATTTGGCTCTCCTCATTCACTCACCTCCCATTCTCTGATGCTCACAGGTACATAAACCGGTTCCGCCAGGCTCAGCCCACAAGCCGAGAGGAACGCCAGCCTGCAGGCCCAACCCCAGCTGACTTTTGGTGGCTACGGCCTGAATCTCCAGACACCCCCAGTCAACTTGCAGCAGGTACCTGCTTCAGTCCTATCCACTGCTGGCCTAAAACCTTTCCTGATCAATGCCCCCAGCAGAAATTCCTCATGGCCCCCCAAAATCAATTGGGGCTTCTCAGCAGGAGCCAGTGAACCAGAAGGAAGACCCAACATAGCAGTCCCAACTCTTGCAAAGGTGGCCAGCGCATCTCAGGCTAAGGTTGTGGCTCCCCTTGAGGAAATGAAACAGGTGACATCCTCATTTACTTTCTTCCCTATGTACCTGAACTGACACCACCAGCCCTAGGATAGAATTAGAGTCAATCCCCAATTCAAGGAAGCTTAAACAAAAAAGGAGGATTTCTTGGCTAATGCAATCAAGAAATCCAAATGTATATGCTTTCAGGAATGGCTGGATCCAGGTGTTTGACCACTATTAGGAGGAACTCGACTCTCTTGACTCTCTGTTCCTCTTTCTTGGGCTCAATCTCAGGCAGGCTTTCCCCTTGAAGTAGTGAAGATGGCCCCAGCGATTCTAGGCTTTTAACTTACCCATCCAAAGCCCCAGGGCTTACTCTCATTCGTTCATCTTTGAGCCAATCACTGTGGAACCGAGGACAGATTGTTGTGATTAGCCAGGCCTGGTCAGGAAGGTGGGGTCAACCCTTCTCCCACAATAATGACTACAAGCAGGGGTGTGCAACCCCAGAGGAAAACTGGGTCCCTCTTCCCTGAGGAGGAGGAGCGGATTCCTTAGAATGGCTTACCAGCATGTGAGGATACCAGGTGGAAGGCAGACCTGTACTCCAGGCCCTCTGTCCAAAGCCCCTTTCCCAGCACCCTTTAAGATGGGGGCTAGTCTCTAATCCCTCTTTCCTCGCAGAGCCTCAACACATGGAACTCATCCCTGTTGGACCTGGAGACACTGAGCCTACAGAACAGAGCTGCCAGGCTGCTCAAACGCAGGTGCCTTCCCTGCCCCCCTCCTCCTCCCCACTCCTACAGCTCCATGCCCCCCCGCACCGCCTCTGAGACCCCCCTGTTGCCTCGCTTCTGCTTTCTTCCTACAGCAAGGCGTCCATCTCCTCCTCCTCACTCAGCCCTAGCGATACCAGCAGCTCCTCATTCCCCGTCAGCTCTGATGGCCTCTCTCCCTTCTCCGCGACCTTCACCCCTGACTCCAGCAAGGGCTCTGACCCCAAGGCACATGGTAAGTTCTGAGGCAAGGATGAAGAAGAGACTGGGTGTGAATCCCAGCTCTGACATTTACCAGCTGGGTGACCTGGGGCCTCGCTGGGCCTCTCTGTTTCTCCAGCTTTAAAACAGGGGTAGTAAATGAGTTGCGGGATGCAGGGAGCTCTTGCCACAGGTCCTAACGGTACCTATCATTAGTATGACAGGCTCTCTCCGCATCCTGTTTGCAGTTCTGAACACAAATTTCCAAAATCAGATGGCTTTTTGCTCAGTTGGCCCTGTACCTGATTGGACAGCAAAATCTGACCTAAAGAATAAGAAGGCTGTTTATCATCTCTCTATATCTCATTGAGGGTGAATAGACATACTTTTTACTTGGCTGTGTTAAATTGAACCATATGAAACTTTTGTCTTTGTCGGTAAAAAATGGTTGAATATGGACAATTTCATATTGTTCAACCAAATACTGTGTTTGAGTCTGGTGTACCGAGCAAGCCCCCTGTTGACGCTGGACATACGATGTGACTTTGCTGAAGCAGGCCGACTGTTGAACGCTCAATTCCTGCCACCTGAAGTCTTCAGATTTCAGATATGGGATTAAGGACCTGGATTACTATTACTCCATGGCCAGGTCCTGGGGCACAGTGGCGCACAGGACAGATGCTGTCTGTGTCTCATGGGGCTTGAGTGAATGGGGGACAGGGAGGCACGGTAAACAGGGAGGTGTCCTGCGTGGTGTGTGTGATCCTGGCTGAGCTCTCGCTTGTCTGATTCTTTGCTTCTTTTCGGCTTTACCTCACCTTTTATTCACCTCTCCTTCCTGAGCCTCAGTTTTCTCATCTGCAAAATGGGGATAAGACTAGTACCTACTTCATGAGTTGTCCTTCAGATTAAATTTACTCATTCTTTCATCTGAAAAACACTGAATACCTATTGTGGATGAGGCCCTGGGTGGGGGCTTGAGGATTCTACAGTGAACCAACCATGTGTGGTCCCACCTTCATGGTCCTCACAGTATAGTGAATGTGGGGCAGAAATAGCTACATAACCCCACAAATACATGTGAAATGTAAGCAGAAATGAGGGCCATGCAAGAGAGGATTGTGATGCTGGGAAGTCAGGGAAGGCCTCCTTGGAAGAAGTGCTGTCTAAGTGGAGACCTGAACAATGAAGGTGGGGACAAGAGCCCTCTAGCATATACGGAGGACCTGAAGTGGGGGGAGCATGGTGAGGATAACAGACTAGAAAGGGCAGGGCGGGGGGGGTGAGAGTAGTGTGGGGTCAGGTGGAAGAGATTGACAGGGGTCAGATTACATTGGGCCATGGGAGGCATTTGGTCATTAGCTTAGTACTGGGGAGCCACAGGAGGGTTCTGAGCAGGGAGGGATGGGATCTTTCTTGGGTTATTAACAGACTCCCTCTGGCTGCTATCGGCCCCCCAGTGAGAGACGCTGGTAGTTGCTCTTGGGCCAGAGCCTGAGGAACAGAGTAGAGGGAAGTGGCCAGGTTTGGAAGTAGAGTCACAGGATATAGAGGGGAGTGGGGGGGAGAGAGAGATCCAGGATGACACCCCCCTTCTCTGTGCAGCATCAGATGGTGGGGCTTCAAAGAGACAATGGGAGCCCTACTGATCATGACCGATGAAGTTATGCTCTGGGTGATGGGAATGATGTCCATTTGCCCCATTGAACTGAGGACGGCCCGTGGCCCTGCCCTTGGTCACTGCTGTATCCCTAGCACAGGTCTGGACGCTGCACTTCCATATAATAAATAGTTCATTTGGCATTTATGCCACAAATACTGATGGCACCAGGCCTTGTTCTTGACACTGAGGATATAGTGACGGTCAGACAGACAAAAACCTCCTTGTGTAGCTGCCATTGTGAAGGGAGAGCGAAGTAAGCAAAGCAGTACCACACTGAATATGTTAGAAGGTGAAAAGAGCTAAGGAGAAACCTGGAACAGGAGAGAGGATAGAGGCTGGGGGTTGTTGCAATTTTAAATAGAGTAGCCAGGGAAGGCCCCACTAAGAAGATGATACTGAGCAAAGATCTGAAGCATGGGAGGGATGGAACCTTGTGCATACAGGAGGGAACAACACAAATGCAAAGGCTTTTGCTTTTTACCAGGACAGGGGAGGGTTCCAATCCTGGAGGACCCTGATCTGACTCAGGTGTTCCCAGGCTCCCTCTGGCTGCGGGGTGGGCTGGGGGTGGGGGAATGGGACAGATTGAGAGGACAGAAGTAGAGAGACCAGAGAAGAGGTTGCTGTGGGGTTGGCCCCAGGAAAGGGCAGTCAAGAGAAGAAGAAGGGGACAGATTCTGGAGGATCTGTCTTGTTCACTGCTGTAACCACAATGTCCAGAACAGTGCCTGGCATATGGTAAGAAATCAATAAATATTTGCTGATGAATAAAGAACTGAATGATGACAGGTTGAGAAGCCCATGAGTGCTCTCTCCTCTGACTGCCCCTTTTCTCACTTCCTGCTTGGGAGAGGAGGTGGGACATTACCTGGAGAGCCTGTCTGAATACCTTTCTGGTACAGTCGAAGGGTGTATGCACAGGCTGTCCTTGGTTTGCTCATCACCCCAGCCTGTGGCCTTACCCTTCCTCCTTCTACTTACCCCACAGTAACACCAGCACCTGCCCCCATCCCTGCTCCAGCCCCGGTCTCCTCCCAGGCACCCCTGCGTCCAGAGGATGATATTCTGTACCAGTGGCGGCAGCGGCGGAAGCTTGAACGGGCTCGAGGAGGGCAGGGTGATGGAACCTGGGTACTACCCCGGACTCCTTCCCTCACCACTCTAGTGAGACAGGGGAGGGAGGAGGCTGAGGGGGCTGGAGGGAGGGATGCTAAGGGAATTTGGAGTAAGGGGGAGCCAGAAGGGGACCGAAGAACCCTCTGTCCTTTCTCTCCCTCTCAGGTCCCTGCCCCCGTTTGTCTACAGGCCCTTCCTGCCCCCGCAGAGACCCTTGGCTCCCTGGGAACGCAGCCTACCTGTGTCCCACATTGGGCCAGTGTGGCCCGATCGGGGCCCCTGGAGGCCTTCTATATGGAGAGGCCTCCTATTCCCCCAGGGTTCCCTCCACACATCTTTTGGGGCCCCAGCCCCCATGGGTTCTTCTGGGCCCCGCAGTCTGGTCCCTGCGTATCTCTCGGGGCCATTCCTCCCAAGCCCTGTACCCCTGCGCCTCCGGCTGCCACCTCGGCACCCGCAGCCTCCCCCCTCCCGCATGTTGCAGGGCTGCCTGGGAGCAGCGGGAGGAACTTTGGGCCACACTGGCCACCATCTCTTCTCCTCCACCCTCCCGCCCCCAGCCGCCCCCCAGGATCCACCCACTCCTGCTCCAAGCTGCCGGGCGCAGCTCGAGAAGCAGGGCCCCAAGCCTCGGAGTAGCGGAGCCCCGCGCCAGGAGTCCGCTGGGACAGTCGTGGCAGCTGACGAGGGGCCTGGCCCGCAGCTCAGAGGCGCCCTGGGCCAAGTAGTATCCGCTCGGCTCTTCCCGGACAGCCTGGAGGACACGCCCCCTCACCTTGAGGGCCCACCTCTGCCCGAGGCTGAATCTCTGAAAGTCAAGGCCACACACCCCCAAACCAAGATTGCACCACCTCGCTCAGAGGTCACTCCCCCTCTATCTGGATCACGATTTCCCAAAGCACAGACTCCGCCAGGTCGGTCTAAAGCCGAGTCTCGGAAAGCCCAGGCCACGCGCCCCCTAGCGGTGTGGGAGCCTCGGAAAGACAAAGACACTCCCTTGGCTGAAGCTGGGTATCCGCCGCCCAAGGTCCCGCCCCCTCCAGCTGAGGAGGCGTCCCCTGGCCCCGAGGCCCCGCCCCCTCCCTCCAAGGCGGGGCCTCTCGAGGAGGTGGCTACGCCCCGGTCCGCTGCTGAGCACGCCCCCTCAGGAGATCTGCTCTGCCAGGCTGCCCGACTTCTGGAGGCGGCAGAAGGTGGGCTGATGTGCGTGGCTGCCCGGATCTGGATGGCAGTCCAGCACCTTACGAGTCGACCTCCTGGCGCTCGCCTTTCTCCCCCTAGACTCTGATGGCAGCGAGTTCCAGGACGACCCGGTACTTCAGTTGCTAAGAATTCAGAGGGCCGAGCTGAGACGGCAGAAAAGGTGACCATCACCGGGATCTACAACACCCCGTTCCCAGAGCCATCCATCATCCCAGACCCCAATCCTGAGCACATAACCTCAGCCTCTACTACCCTGGCTTTTTTGCAGGGAAGTGGACGCCCAACTATCCCTCTTACTGGAGCACACTGAAGACTCAGGGACTTGGTCTCCTCCAACCAGGTCGCCCCCCAGGTCCCCAGGAAGGCGGCCGCAGAGGGGAGGAGCTTCTCTTGAGACCAGGTGGCGCTGAATTGTACAAATTATATTTTTCCCAATAAAATGTTTTTCATGTTACTGATTGTCCCTGAGAAAGTTGTTCTGGAAAGGCTAAGGGTCATGCTAACTCAGAGAAATAGCTCCCTCCCTCCTCTACCCACCCCCTGCCCCACCCCCACTCTAGTTCCTGACAGTTTGGCACAAAATCTCTTCTGGTTTCCCCTCTGAGGAATCCTCTCTGAGGTCAGGACAGGGGTGTGGTTCCAGGCCAGATTTGAGGCAAGACTGGGACTCCCCTTAGTTGACTCTCAGCTCAGAAGTGGATCCTCCTGTCTCAGTGGACACCAAAGGGCTGTGTTCTGGGCATGAAGCTAATGGGGTCATCAGAGTGCTGGGCAATGGTCAGTCCTCAGTCCACAGCCTGCTTGAGCCAGCAGCAGCATATAGTGTGCTCATCCCTTCCTCCTTGAAACTCTTCCTTTCCCTGCTTCCAGTGTCACACCTTGTCATTGCCCCAACCTGTCACTTGAGCATGTCCCAGGTCCCTGGCCTTAACTGTCTATATTCATTCCCAGGTGCTCTCATCTAGCTTCACCACTCTAACACCCATCTCTATTCTAATGGTCCCCAAATTTCTATCTTCAGCCTAGATCTGGCCACTGAAACTTAGGCTCCTGTATTCTGCTACCTGCTCACCATTTCCATTCAAAGGCTTAAGAGATGTCTCAAACCCCACAGGTCTTAAACTGAACTCTCAATCTTCCCCCTAAACTTGCCCCTCCCTGGTTTTCCTGAGCTCCATCCCTGCAGCTGCTCAGGCCAAAAGCCTCCTGGCCTTTCTTGACTCTTCTTTTTCCCTCACCCCACCGTCAGTTAGTTGATTAGCAATTCCTGTAAAATCTATCCAGAATTTAATCCTTCTTCCGATGCCCTCACTCCAGTCTAAGCTATATCACCTGTCTGGACTTTTGAAAAACCAATTGTTTTGTCTGTAAATTCTTTGACACACTTCCCATTAAAAAGTAGAGTCTGTGTCCCTTCTCCTTGAAACTAGGTAGAACTCTGGGGACTGCCTCAACAAATAGAATACAAAGGAAATGTTACTGCTTTAACTTTCTAAACCAGATTAGAAAAGATTATACAATTTCCACCTGGTGGCCCTGCATTCCCTCTCTTTTGTGTGCTTTGGAGCCCTAGGCTACTGTATAAAAAGTGCAGTTGCCCTGCTGGGTAGGGATTTTGGTTACACAGGTGTATACACTTGTCAAAATTCAGTGAAAATTCTGAATTTTATTGTAGGTAAAGTTGACCTCAAAATAAAAACAAATACTGAACTGTAGTTAAAGATATGCATGCTGAAATGTTTAGGGGACAGCATACCAATGTCTGTTATTTATTTTGAAATATACCCCCAAAATAGTAAGATTAATGGAATAGAATGAATAGAGTAATAGGTGAATGTGACATAAAGCAGACAAAGTAAAATGTCAATGGTAGGATCTGAGTGGTAGGTATATGGGTGTCTACCATGAAATTCTTCAACTTTGCTGTATGTTAGAAACTTGTCATAATAAAATGTTGGAGAATGTATGATCGGAATTATTTTGGTATCTGTATTTATAAAAAAAGGAGGATAGAATAGGTTTCTGTTAAAAGTAGCTTCGGGGGCAGCTGGGTGGCTCAGTCAGTTAAGCGTTTGCCTTCTGCTCAGGTCATGATCCCTGAGTCCTGGGTTTGAGCTCCACGTGGAGCCCCAGGAGCTCCATGTCGGGCTCCCTGCTCAGCAGGGAGCTTGCTTCTCCCTCTGCCCTTCCCCCTGCTTGTGCTTACTCTCTCTCTCTCAAATAAATAAATAAAATCTTTTTTTAAAAAGTAGCTTCTGTATATCATAGACACGGTATATGTTTGTTTTCAGCCTTTTTGAACAAACCATACATTTAAATGAAATCAAAAAGAAGGAAATCTCTGTTTAAATATAAAGAGAAATGAAAGATGTTTATAGCAGCAGAACCTGATCTAGTTGGGGGGTGACTGGAGCCTAGGATTTCTGAGGAAGTTACACTTAAGCTGAGACAGGTAGGAATTAACTCGTTGACAAAGGACCATCCTAATTACTATTGCTGGATTATAAATCAGCCCCAAAACTGTGGCGTGAAGCAATCATTTTATTATGTTCATGGATTCTATGAGTCAGAAATTCGGACAGGGCACAGCTGGGGACAGTTTGTCTCTGCTCCATAATGTCTAGGGGTTCAACTGGAAAGACTCAAAGGTGACTCAACAGCCAGGGGCGGAATCCCTGGAGCTCCTTCACTTACAAGTCTGGCACTAGGGCTCAGATGACTCCAAGGCTGGGTTCAGCGGGAACTGTGGACTGTAGTGCTTACTCAGGGTCTCTCCATAGGGCTTGGGCTTCCTCAAAGCATGGCTTCCTGGCCATAGTTGCACTTCTCAAAGCTCTAGAGCTAGTCATTCCAGCGGACAAAAAGGAAGATGCATTGCTTTTTTGCTACTTAGCCTTGGATACCACATAATGTCAATTCCACTATTCTCTGTTGATTGAAGTTGTCAGTCTTGCCCAGATTCAAGGGGGCGGGGACAAAGACTCCAGCTTTTCATGAAAGCAGTGTCAAAGAATTTGCAGTCGTGTTTTAAAACCACCACAGGGGTTGGTGGGGCGTGGGGTGCGGGGATGAGGGGAGACTGCAGGCAATGGGAACATCATGTAGGGAATCCCTGTGATAAGGTGAAGTCAGCAAGTTCAATAAGTTGAAATAAGTAACCCTAAATTGACCCCTCCCTCAGCATTCCCTTTCCCCAATGCCGGCTTAACTTTTTATCCATAGAATTTATCACCTTCTAATTTTCTATATTTTTGGATATTTTGTTCATTGTCTTCTCCCACCAGCTTTTGAGCTGCATGTGAGCACGATATGTTTTCCCTTGCTTTGGTTACTGATGTAGCCACAAATTAAGTGATTAGAGTTTTTGAATGAATGAGTGAATGAATCACAGTTGTACTTTCTGAGGTGAGGGGCCCTGTTGGGAACATGACCAGTGGAAAAGTTCTCTTGGAAAGGGCATTGTTACAGTGTTTTCTGGGCCTGGCTCAAGTCGGAGGCGGAACGACTGGGACTGGCTTTATGGGAGGCGTGGTCATGTTCTGGCACTTTGGGCTAAGCCAAGTCCTAGGAAAAAGGAGTCAAGCCTGGAAGCCGGCCTGTAAGAAGCAGTAGAGGAAGGAGGCAAGGACAATGTCCAGTGGGAAGGGCGAGGCTAAGTCGCAGAGAGCCTAGGATTACGTCCCAGGCAGGGTGTCTGAGCCAGTGAAAACCGTCCATGGGCAAATGCCCTCAATATTCTGTGGGCAGTGTCAGGGTCGGGACTGACAAGATGGGACTAGAGGATTGAGACATTGAAAAGCTGCTTGGGGATGGGGAAAAGCTCTGAGGCCATGGAAGAATCCAACTAGGAAAGTCAAAGGGGGAAAAAAGTGTCAGAGGACTAGTCACTGAGAGTGGACTAAGGGGAGGGCCCACTGCTTAGTGTTAGAAGTGTTGGAAGCAAAGCATAAAGAACCTAGGGGTGTGTCTCAAGAGGGTAATAACAGCCAATGAAAAGCAGTCATGGGCGCGGCGCTGTCAAACTTCACGGGGCGGGACCGAAGAGACCGAGCCAGGGATGGGACCGAAGCCTGAGCCAATGAAAACCCGCCGGGTGGGCGGGGCGTCGTCCTAAGGCCAAGGGTGGAGCCAATGAGAAGCGGCGCCGCGTCCCCGCTGCCCCCGCCTCCGTGGGGCGAGCGCCGGAGCCACGGGCAGCCGTTAGGGGCGGGGCCTGCAGCCGCCCGCGCGCGGCTCGCGCCCTCCCCTTTGTGTCGCCATGGCGGCGGCAGCGGCGACGAGGACGACGAGCGAAGGATCGAGCGCTGCCGGCTCCTGAGGAGGCTACGCTACCATGGTGGTGAGGGGCCCACGCGGCCGTCAG